CTCCACAGAAACATTTATATAAAATCAGCATATTTAAATGTTTTTCAATTTATTTCACTGACTAGCCAAGGAAGACGAGCTGGCCTATCAGTGGCTCACCCTATACAAATGCTCATTAGGCCTTTTCCGACTTTAGCTGCCATGTTTGCACTTTGGGTTGGATGTGAGTGGACGGTTGTAGCAGACACTTTATTTACCAGTCCGATGTCAGATCTGGTCTTCCACAGGGCTCTCAGGGCTCGGCGGGCGACGTTCTCAAATGTCGGGTCTCCCGTTAGTCGACTCAGTGTGGCGAACTCCAGGATGAAGGTTCCCACGCCAGCGGTACAGGTGACCGGTGTCTCAGTGGGACTGACGCCACGCAGAAGGTTCACCGTACCGTACGGCATGCCGGTGGGAGTCTCAAACGCTGATTTATTGTTGAGACAAATTTCACTGATTTATTCATGTGTGCTTTTCAAAGTAGTTCATTAAAACTAGAGAGTCTGAAACGCCAGAACACACCAGGCAGCAGCTTCCTGGCGGCGTCCTCGGCCATCCTCAGCAGCGGTCCTGAGCAGGGCCACCCGGGCTCCAGCTCCATTCCCGCCCTCTTCGCCAAGAGATGGGCTGACAGCAGACCGCCCACAACTACACACACACACACACACATTAACCTGAGGTGGACACTCTCCTTTGCCACCGCTCCTGCGCCCAGATGTGCAGTGTTTATAAAAACAGCAGTTTAAATGTTGAACATGAGTTTCCCCTCAGAGTCCGAATCGTCCGTCAGTACCTCTGATGTTGGTTTCAAACACGGACGCGTTGACGTCGATGTCGAAGTCGACGGTGTCTTGGAGGATCGACGCCACTCGCTGGAACTCTGTATGGTTTCCCAAAACCTTCAGAGAGAACACATCGGACGACTGTCGAGTCACGGCACAGGAGTACAACATCTGCTCATCAGTGTTTGTTAAAGGCTCTGTAAACGTAAAACATCTGTTTCCAGTCTTACCAGCAGAGTGTCGAGGGCGTCGATCAGAGTGAGCGAGAAACTGGAGAAAAGAGCAGCAGGGGTCATTTTACTGTTTCTGACAACTCTTAACCTGGCATAATGTTTTCTTCTGAACCACTTTAATTGAAGAGAATATTTTCAATGTTTTACTTTGAAATTCTTTGTCTAAACGTAACTTCCTTCCACATGCATAAATACATAAACAAGAGAAAAAAATCATAATCGTATAATTTAATATTTAAGTCACAATTTTTTAATGTGATGTGTGTAATGTGTTGGACTTTGGAAAAAGCAGTAAATGTATTAAACTTTTATAAGAGAAATCTTGAATCTGTTCATTAAAGGGAAATAAAATTAACTAATTTCACCTGAATATACTAAATAAATTCATAAATGTGACCTGATGGTTTTATAAAGTGGTAAAAATCAGAGAAAGGTAAAAGAAATGCTTAAAGGTTTGGCGTGTGCTAACTGTGTCCTGTTGAGACAGGAAGTGTCTTATAACTACAAAATAAAAGAAACAAGAGCGCTCAGAGAGTTCAGATCTCCCTGAAAGGCACACGCTGTGTTAAAATAGTGATGCTTTTATTAAACATGCTGATGTCAGCATTGTTGGAAATCGTTGGAAATGTGGAGATGATTAATCGATTTGATTATCTTCACCCGTATGATTGGAGCAGAACTGACTGAAATCTTTGGCTTCTATCAGCTGTAGAAACCTGAGATTTTAGGATATATTCATGCTGTGCGACTTCATGGGTCATCGTAACGTCGTAGGGCCTTGTATAGAAATAATAGTGTATACACATAATACTACTCAACATGGCATCTTTATTGTTTTTTCAAGGTCAACTTTGACCTTAGGTGCTAACAGTGAAGGTCAAGGTCAACCTAGATACTCATGTCCCCTAAGGCTGTAGTGTTGTGAAGTTTGAAACGATCCATGAAATGTGAGTAATACAAAGTTTCTACTGATTTTGAACTTGACCCGATTTTCTAAGTAAAGAAAAGTTCACTGCAGTAAAGTGTACTTGACATTCAAGTTTTTAAACTGCCTCACCTGCCCCACGTGTCCTGTCCATCACAGGTGAGAGGGCGGAGCTCATCGTAGGGGAAGGCGTAGTCAAGGTAACTGTTGTAGGCGTGGTAGAACATGGATTTGATGCGCTGTCTGAGAGATGAAGTTTGTTACGTTAAGGGCGGGACAATTTATCAAAGCATTCAAATTTAGATGAAACTAATTCAGTAAAAATTGGATTCTGCAATTTTTCCCTCGTGTGAAAAACGTTAAACATCCACGTACACAAATATTTCAACACATATTAGAATCAAAATGGAAACGCTCTGAAGCCAGAGCAACTTTTTTAACGGGATTTCGGAAAAGCAAGCAAAGTAAACCACTGAACAGTTAGAATAACTTTCAACATTTTTCAGAATAAAAGCTTCTCACATTACTGACACAGGCAGACAAACGAGAGCAGATCGAGCTGTACACGACTCGCTGTTTAAGGTTGTTTAGGACCAGCGTTCATACTTTACATCACCTAAACGAATCTGTGTACTTTAATCGACACATTAAAAACGTTTGTGTTTCAGGTGAATTCAAAGCTTTTAAAAACAAACTGATTAACCTGTGAATATGTTGGGACTTCTCTTAATCATCAGTTTGAAATATGTGACAAAATTAAACGCACATGTCAGTTGCTTAAGTCAAGCCCTTAAAAGAAAGAAGGAGGCAGCGTTCAAATTATGAGGCAAATGCAGCTGATAGTAGAGTGAAATATTTCCACAAACATCAAACCTGCCCACACCCACTGCTCAGGAACAGAATCAGTCAAACACAAAAAACAAATGAGAGACGATTAAGATGCAAATGAATTTCTGTGTCAAGGCAACTCGCACTTATCTTATATTGTTTTAATGCCACTGCTGCATATCATTCAATTTGGCATCTCTCTTCCACAGTTTGTTTTTTGTCTTGTTTGTGCTCTTGAGTTCTTCCTCCCCACAGTCGCCAGCTGTTGCTCGTGGTCTGAGTGGTGACTTTGTAAATAAAATACAATAAAACGACCCAAACATCTGCCGGACGCATTGCTAAGGTGACTGCTGAGTGGAAACGTACAGTAAAAAAAAAAAAACACTTTACAATTATTATTTGATTATTGTGTTGTGGGAGTTTCCCCACTCTCAAACTCACAGTGGGATCCCAGTCTAGTGTTCGCGTTTGCCCCTTCAGACACACGCACCCACCCTCAGACTCGCTCCAGCTGGCGTGATGAAGGGAGGATGAGTGGTGTCTGCACAAAACTCAACTTTAAACCGAGTCCAGACGGAGCTGGTGTTCGTACCTGAAAGCAGCCATCTCCTCCTCCGAGAACTGACGAGCCGCCGCATCCGTCAGCACCCACACCAGCAGCGCCGCGCACACGGGAGCGCGCATGTAGACAGACAGACGGACAGGTGAGACAGGTGGACTCGGACACAGATATGACCTGAAATCAAAGATCGGGGAAACACGCACGGAGCGAAAAGTCTTCTGTTGTTGTGCAGCTGTCAGGAAGCAGGAAGTTATTCATCTGCGCATGCGTCGAACCGGTGCGCTGACGAGGACTTTCGACGTGGAATCTCATTGGACGTTTTGTTTTGTTTTTTAAATAAACCTTTATTAATAAACTGATCATATGACAATGATGACAGTAAAGCCATTGAAATGACAAATTATATAACGGGACTGTAAAATATATACAGATATGAATTAATACAAAAAAGCTTCATTTTAAAATTACGCTCCGTTGTATTTGTTTCAGAGAAGGTTGATTTCGTAGAGCTAAATGTATTTTCCAGCTGTCTCTTATTTTCATCTCTTATTTTATTAATTAAAATTATACTTATCTCTATTTATTTACATAATGAGTGAGCCAGTATTAAAAAGATAACTTTGCAAATATGGATGGACACACGTTACAAAATACTGTACATTTGCAGTAGTGTGGAAAGTCTTTGTTTTGTTGTCAAAGAGCCAAACATACATACATGCAGAGAGAAATACACAGAAAACACAGAGTATGTGAATACCCTGAACAGCATGACAGACTTGTGCAAAAGACCTACAGCCATGTAATCTCTGTCATTGCACGTTAACTGAATGCTTCCATTTATTACTGCTCCACTGTATTTTAGAGTGACAAATTTTTCCCCCAATCAGAAAAACTATATGAGATGTTCAGTAATAATAAAGCCATTTTAGTTTCAGAGCTTATCACAAAGCTACTATTTAACTAACTGAAGCACACCTGAGGCGAGCCTGGTTTGGGCTGTACGATGAAGTGAACAGCTGAAGGTGATCAATGTCAAACAGACATGACAGCAGTGAGGCTGAGTTCAGAAACTGAGACAACCAGACAGTAGGGAAGGCAAAGATCCCTGCGCTCACCGAGGTGGGAATGGATCCTGGGCCAATGGAAATTGCGACCATGTTACCTTAACACAGTCTGCTCTGACGTCTGAGGATTAGAACAAAGGAGTTCAAGTTCTAGACTTAGACTCAATAATTGATGAGAATATCTTTGAATTTCACATTTAATTATACATTTTTGTGGTATACATCATCCAGCCAACAGCGTCTCCAGTATCAGTTATATGACACGAAATAACCTCACAAACAAATATTCTCCTTTTAATAACTTTGCATGATGTAAACATTAACGTGTTCATGTATAACCTCCTGAGTTACTTCATTATCTGAGTGTGTGCAGTGACAGGTACAAGCAGAACAAACAAGGATGGAGAAACTTGTTCTGTTCATCGCCGCTGCACCAGGCAAGTGTTTTAAGGTGTTTTTATATTTGCTGTAATGAAAACAGAATGATAGCTTGAATAGAAAGCTACAGTATGTCAGTGGCAGTAATACTGGATATGATTTTACTGCTGGAATAAGTTCAGACTACACTGAAATGTCAAGTTACTTTTTTAAAAGTGATCATGCATGTCTGTCACTGCAGGGCTGTGGGCCGTGTCCTTAAATCCTGAACGTCAGTACCATTTTGTTTATGAGCAGAAGAACTGGACTGAAGCACAGCAGCACTGCAGACTGTATTACACAGACCTGGCCACCATAGAAAACATGGAGGATGTGAAGACCCTGAATGACATGGTGGACTTGAACAAATTTGATGAATCTGCCGACAGCTATGTAAGTTCACTCTCTCTGTTTAACTGCAACATATTTGTCACACTGGCAGTTCAAATACTTGTACACACTCACGTATTTAATTTTTCTCTGCAATATTCCCCTGTTCCTGTTTTTTTTTTTTCTTATTGTACGTTTAATCATCTCTGCTAAAACTGGAGCCCACAGTCACTTGACCTTAACTGAAATGCCTTGGTATTGTTATTCCCCAGCCTTTGCAGTAGTATCGTTTTTTATAATATGTAATGAAATACCCATGAATGACAGGGTGTATCTATAAACTTTCAAACTAACAAACTTTGTCTTTAAAAACCTTGTTTATAAATATTTCTCCAATATTTAAAAAGATGATGTACCACTAATCAGAAAAGTCAGGGATGTCACTCGTTATTCGTTGCTTACAGCGAGCCTGGATCGGGGTGTACAATGACGTGAGCAGCTGGAGGTGGTCGAGGTCGGACAGAAGTGATGAGACTGAGTTCAGAAACTGGAAGCCTGGACAACCGGACAATAAAGGGGGACACGAACTTTGTGCAGAGATTTTTGTCAGTGGAGAATGGAATGATAAACCCTGTGACAAAACCCTCAGTGCAATCTGCTCTGATGTCAGAGGTGAGGATCTCAATCTGTGCACGACCATCAAACAAATCATGCGCACTTCATTCTTGATTTAAAGACTTTTTGGGTCTATTTGTCTCAGTGGTAGCTAACGTGAAGATGTATCCCTCATGTTTGTGCACTGCACACTTCACTTTGGTCCATTTTCAGGGCAAAACGAGACATTTGTGTTCATCGACAAAACGATGACATGGGCTCAGGCTCAGAGCTACTGCAGGGCTCATCACACAGACCTGGCCAGTGCGAGAAACGTGTCAGAGAATCGGAGGGTAAAGGAGTTGGTGCCTGCTGAAGATCGATCTGCCTGGATCGGCCTTTTCAGAGATTCCTGGAAGTGGGCGGATGGAAGGACCTCCACATTTAGATACTGGAAAACAAAAGAACCAAATAACCAATACTGGAGAGAGAACTGTGTGGCAGCATACTTTAAACATTCTGGAAACTGGGAGGACTGGAACTGTGACTGGAAGAAGCCATTTGTCTGCTACAGTGGTAAGCCATGATTCAGACAGCCTTCAGCTACATCTACACACGGCTGCATGCAGTGCATTTAGCTTAAAAACAAAACAGAAGTAATTTATATAAAAGTTGGACTTTAAAACGAATAATGCATCAAATTCTGTGGAGTCAGGCAGCACATCCAGTGGGTGTTTGTTGTAAATGCGCAGAAAGCAGCTTTCAGTGAACCTCACTGGCTAACCGTGAACCTTACTTTTCTCTTTAAAAAGATCCTGTTTACAAGCAAGCGGTGAGAATCAGGCTGGAGAAAAATGCTCATCTGGATCTGAATCGTGCTGCTGTGATGGACGACATGCTGAAACTGGTAATTTTTAAAGGAAAATTTCGTTTTCATATTCTTTTGTTTTTTCTTTTGGCAACAAGAGTTCCAGTTTACATACAAGTCAGAACTTCTCAACAAAAAACAGATTTTAAATCAATCGACGTGTGATTGAAGCACAGACGTACAGATTTATTTCAGGGGGTTCAACAAAAGTACTGAGCTGTTTAACTATTAGTCATTTTCAACTTAGATAGCCAGATTTCCAAGGCTCAAAGGTAACTGGACGATCCAACGTACTGTGATTTGGATTTTTTAAAGGTTGATGAAAATCTTTTGCAGTCACAGATTTCCTGAAGTCTGGAATACGTGGACATCATTGAATGCTGTCTTTCCTCCTTTGTGTTGCTCAGCGTTTCACTGCAGCCGTGTTTCATTCCTGCTTGTTTGTGGGTTTCTCTGCCTTCACTTTGGTCTTGAGAAACTCTTGGGTTGCTTTTGCAGTTTGCTTTGGCCCATCGTCCCTCTGTCCCATCAGTTCTGCAGGTTCTGAACCTGAGCTGAGAGTCCACTTCATGATTCCTCCTGCTACTTCTCTCAGCAGCCACATCATCATAAACTGGTGGCGGCCACACATGATGTGATATTCTTCAGATTGTAAGCGGTGTCTTTCATTCGCTGGGACACATTATTCTTGGTCTCATCTGTCCAAAGACTGTTTGCAGAACTCTGGAGGTTCAGATGTTGTGTTTTTTCTGTCTTTACTTTGGCTTGACCCCCTGGTGTGTAACAAGACCAGTATGTTTGCCACATCAGATTGTAAATATTAACAGAAATTATTTTGTTCCCATTTAAAAGAAGACACCGGTCTGGTATGTGCTTCCTCTCCTCCCTCCCTAAGGCTTTGTAAAAGGCCCAACAACTGTAATTATTGTAGTGGCCTAAACAGTAATTATTTTGGCAAATATGATAATGTTATAGGACATAGTTTTCTTGTAAAAGAACAAAATTGCAGTCAAGAATTGACTCTATTACAGTTTTATGGCTTACATTTTCTGTGTGTCTCAGGTTAAACAGCAGCTCCAGGCCCACGGGGTTAGAGGGGACATCACCCTGAGCTGGAGGAAGCAGTCAGATGGAAACGTTTTTCACAGCAACACAAAGAAAACAAAGAAGATAAAAAACCCTTAAGCAAAGATAAAAGCTTTGAGTGTTGCATTATTTATCTTAAAAGATTTGTTTCGTGTCCATTCTTCATGCTTTTGTTGTTTTCCAATCAGCGTCACTGCATCAGCTAATTAAGCAACACGTCTGTAGTGCATAAGTAAAGGGAGACCGATCGTTTTTCTAACATAAGTTCATCTTCAGAAGCAAACTCCAAGGTGTTTTAGACACCCACACTGCATTTCTGACATCCCCAATGACTTAAATAAGTTCCTTTACTTCTTAGATAATAAAGACATGTCATGGTTGTGGGTCTGTGTCCCAGCATTTAGTGTTTTTGAATGATTAATAGTCTTTGATTTCATTCTTATTCATAGTTTCTAGTTTCTTGGTTCCTGTCTCTGTGCCTGTCTCATGTTCCCAGTTTTGCTTCCCCCCCAGTCTCATTGTGATTTCTCCCCCCTCGCTATCTGTCTGCACATCTCCTGTTGCATTTCTCATGTTCCAGCCTTTCTTGTGTCACAATACGTCTGTGTGCAGGCAAGAGAAGGACCCAAACGCAAACTCAAAAAACAGCTTTATTGCTGGTGTGGAAGCGAAACAAAGAACAAAACTAAACTGGGAAAACTAATAATAAATCATGCTTGGAAACACAGGGCGAAGAACGGGGATAACGAGGGGGAATGAGCCACAGGAGGAGGTAAACTTAACAGACTGGGGAGACAGAACATAGGGACCTGAAACATGGGACAGAAAGGCACAGCAGACACAACATGAACATAACGACGCCACAGGGGAAGAGTAAAACAGAACACAACACAGGACCTCTTTCAAAATAAAATAGGAAACATAATGAAACGCAGACATGAAACACATGAAGGACGAGGGAGACTTAACAGGGGTTGAAAACACAAGGGGAAACTAATAAACAAATGAAGTTAGATAACCTAATGAACTTAAGCATAAACCATAAACATCAGAAGGCCCAGGCCCACCTTGTTCCATGTCTCAGGTCTTTAGTTTCTTTGTGCTTGTTTTTAGGTTTCTTCCAGTTTAGGTTTTGCTAGTTTCGTCATTGTCACCCTTTGCTTTTGTCTGTATTTTGCTTTGCTGTAATAAAGGCTCACGTTCAGTTTAAGTCTGTCACTAGTGTCTTTGGCTGAGGATTTGTCCCTTTTATCTTTTGATTCTTTTACTGATCTTAACTGTTTCAACTATTGTGGAGTTTTGTGCTGTTTTCATTTGATTTTGTTTACCTGCTATCCTCATCTGTTTTCATTATTTTTTTGCCTCTTTAGTCGTTTTTTCATTAAATCCTTGTGTGGATCCCGTGAAATGTGATAAATATTACTTTCAGTTTCTTTGCATCCATCAGCTTCATGATGGGATGAGGATCGATTCTGAAAGTTGGCTTGCTGGACTGACCTGGTAACATTGAGTAACTGTACGTGTGACAGCAGCATAACCTGTGCTGATAAATAAAAGGAAAACAAAGAATGGGAGAAAAATTTTTGATGAATTTTGATTGTTGTCACAAAAGTGTATGGAACGTGCTTTCCTTTAAAGCAGGAGGATGGGATTGCTTCACCTTTCGGTGGGTCCAGTGTTTTGTCTGCTCGGCCTCCTGTATCGCTGTTCTAGTTCTCCTCTGATGTGTAATCTATAATATAGCACGCACCCTGCTCCACACAGCGGGTGTCAACCCTTGTTTATTTGACCTTCTGCAGAGTGTGTCTGTCAGGTTTGTCCCTCACCAAAGCAGACAGGCTAGGAAAAGGTGGAAATGTGGAGGTGTCTGGGGAAAGTTGCAGAGAGGTGTGAGTGTTTCCTCCATACAGCCTTGGCATGGGAAGTTTTCATCTCATCACAGGCCACAGATGTCTTTACCTGGCCTCACACTGCTGGAGATAATCCTTCCTTAGCCGCTCACCACACCTGGGCGCTGGATGGTTGGATGATGCTGGATCGAGACTTACAAACATCCAACAACTGGAATATGCTGGATATTAATTTTCAGCCTACTCTATGGCAAAGGTGGTTTTGGTCAAACCTTTTGGTTTTTGGGGTTAATTTTCCCAAGAGCCCAGAATTATGACCTATAACTGTAACGTCTCCTCTTACTAGTATCAGTTAAAAAAAGATTAAATTGATGTCAACCATCTGGGGCCTTAATTACATCAACAGCCACTTTAGTTCATTTATGCAGCTGAAGGAGAGAATTACTTACAGTAATATAAAATTTGCCATATGTGAAAACAAGAACAAAATTCAAACATTGATCTTTCAGCTGCTGGCAGTCTGACGCTGCTCTCTCCTGTTTCTCTTAAATGACACTGAATGTGCAGCTTTGTGATGGAGCTGGCAGCAGGTATCCACATACAGACATCGCTGCCTTATGATCACTCCTTACACATTTCCTTTATGTTCATTCAGGAAACTTCATCACATCCCAACAGCATCAGTAAAGCTCCACGGTTACATCATCCAGCCAACAGCGTCTCC